CACACACACACACACACACACACACACACACACAAGCATAACAATCTTTCAGAAAAGCTCGAGAAAACTGGGAATTTCAAACGTTGAACTTGTCTCGTCTGCACATCAGTGAAATTTATTCTCTAAATTTTTATTACTCAACTGGATCAACAAAATAACCAAGAAAATATCATTGATAGTCCGACTTGCGAGAGAGAGTGAGAGAGAGAGACAGACGGATATAATTTTGCCGGCAGGGAGGGGGAAGGGACACGTGCGCGGTAGGCGCGCGATAAACTTACGAAAGTCGGTGTATGTACCAACGTTGACGAAGGTATCTACAATCGTCGGCGAATTAATATCAGGCTTCTGGCAATCTGGTTTGTCTAACTGGATTCCAAGGGGGTTATTCCTGCGGGTAACGGGGGTAGTACTGGGGTGGTGAGGGGAGGGGTAAGAATCAGGGGTTGATAAAAAGCCGGCGCGCCAAGACACCGGTACTCGATTACAGTGAGAACATGAACGAAGGAGGAACAATCAAAGAACGATAACTGCTTTGACAGAAACTTATCACTGAGAGAGGGGGGAAGATTCACACGGTTTCATAAAACAATTACATTATTAAACGTTTGAAAGGAGGACGGGTGATAACGTCGCGAGTTTTGGTGCAGTTATTAATCTGTAGGTGAATATTTTGTGTTGAGACATGAGTTGATGATTGAAAACAGTTTTTTCTCGAGTTTTTTCAATGGAATTTTTACAATAATTTTGTGTGCTCCCTCAAAACTGCCGGTTTCTGGTGTTCTCTTTACAGTTCATTCTCCTCGGTATTTTTTTTTTTCGAATGAATTGTTTTTTTAATCTTCATGGTGGGTGAAAAGAGTGGAAGAAAGAGCGGAGATTAGTGAAAACATTTAACACATTTGGATTTTTGTGAAAATTGCGTCATTCGGCGTATTGAAGCCTCGAAGTAGAATGTATCCTCTTTTCTCTGCTTTTCTTTCTTCGAATAAATAGAAATTGGAGGAATAAAAAATATTGTATTCGAAGTGAGCACACGCACACGTATAGACGGGTAGGATGGCGAGCGGGCGTGAGGAAGAGAGGCGCGCGACGGTGGGTTACCACACCCAACCGCGCCGGGGGCCAAGGAGGTTGGGATAGAAGTTGGATGAGACGAAAGGAGAGGAGTTAAAGCGCGCCGCTATGGTCAAACGAGGAAAAGAGACAACCTCTTAACACGAAAAAAGCTGATAAAAGTAAAAATTACCAATTTCCTCTGTGCATTTAATGTTCTTTTTCCTCAATGGATTAAAATATTTCGTGAGCATTGGCCATTGCCTAAATTGAGTTCAAAGCCGTGGGCAGGATTGATAGTGGTGGTTGGGTGTTGTTGCGTGCAGGAAAATTTAGTTTTTTCATGTGTGCAGTGTATTATTTTTTCGGTCGAAAAATTGGAGTGTTTTTTTCGATAAGAAATACTGGGAAAATGCATTTCGGGTATTGAGCACGGTTGCACAATGCTTTTGGGAGTAGGAGTGAATTTTTTTGGGGGCTTTTGTGCTGGCGTGTAGCCGACAACGTGGAGGATACGTGTAAGACGTTTATTTAAGTTAATGAGGAAACAATTCTGGATCATTTTTCCGACATTGCCGGTGATGATGGTCCGCTTGTAATCCCCTGGGGTATTGGCGAAATTTAGGGCTCATTGGAGAAGCCAGAAACCAGCACCATTCACCCACAGCCTCCCTACCCTAGGACTACTTAATTTTCATTGATGAAGAGTTTTTCAAATGGTCTTTTGACAAATTGCTTTTCTTTCTCTTTCTTTCAGTGATTGCATATGGGCGTTCTGAATGTGCCGTACCCGTTGGTATCGTCAAGGTGGTGGTAGCAGACCAGTCAGGATTACAGTCTCGTGTAAACCTGTGAAATAACAACTAAAACAACAGGGAAAAGAGGACAAATTGATTGATTAATAACGAGGGTGAGAATATATCGAGAAAAAATCTAAATAAAATTTGTTTACTCAAGTGCCGAGTGAAAAGTGAATTTTTTTAGTGCATTGAGAAGATAAATATTTGTGACGTGAGAAGGAGGAAAATAGAGGTGATACGTGGTCAGTTAAAGTGGCTGTAAAAACGTCTGAGACGTTAGGCTTAATTCGAATCCAAAAATTCATCGTGGCATCAAGATAATATAGGTCGTAAAGAGGCAGCCGAGAGCAGGCAGTTGCCGCCTCCTGCCCTGGATATTGAAGAGCCTCGGCATTATAATAAATAACAATTATACAATTTTTCTATAAATTAAATTTGACGGTTAAAGTGCTCCCCAATTTCTCCCTCCTCCCTCCGAGGATTCTGCTTAAACTAAATCATGGCGTGCTGCTTGTCGGAAGAGGCTAAGGAACAGAAGCGTATTAATCAGGAGATAGAGCGGCAACTTCGGAGGGACAAGCGAGATGCCAGACGGGAGCTTAAACTACTGCTTCTGGGTGAGTTTAATTATCCCATTATGTTCTGTTTTTTATTTAGATTACTTTCGGTTTTGGGTGTCATTTTTCGTTTCACTCTTTCGGTTGTCGTTTACAGAGAAAAGAATCACAGAGAAAAGCAGTTTCTAGTTTCTATAATCGAGTTACTCATTTTGAAAAATTTACGGTTTTAAAAGGTACTGCACTCAGAATTAGAAACCGTCTGTTTAATTTCAGAAAAACTATCCCTGAAATTCAGTACCAAAATCTTATTTACTTCCAGTTAGGAAAGTTCTTAAGGTGAGGATCTTTGCGTTCTTAAATTAAGACCATTCGAAAGGGATAAAATTCTGAAATAATTGAACATTTAATCAATAGTAATTGAGTCAAAGTGTCGGTGGATATGCATTGAATAGCAAAGGATATATAAACCTGAGTAGATTAATTGTAGAACAAGAGAAACATCAATTGCAGAACAAGAATATTTCTAATTTGAGAATCTAGCTGCTCTCCATACAAGAACGCGAAAATTCTTATTTTAAGAAGAAATAATTCTGAAGGCCAAGATGTCCTTGAAATAATAGAAAAGGTGCCTTAATTTCAACACATCTGGATATGAGTAAAAATTCAATTTACTACGAGGATTTTTCGCTCACTAGATTTCAGTACCACCGAGTTTTTAAATACAAAGTTTTTTACTGGAAACTAAAAACTTTTCTTCTCTATTTTATTTCAAATTATAATTGTTGGAAACACTGTTATTGCAATGACAAGGTGATAAATAGAGGCGGAGGTCCTGTGGATTCGTAAATCATTTTCCAAATACCTGTGAAACAATGAAGTTTAGAGAAATTCTTCAATTATAGGACTCTTTTGACGTTTATTGAAATTCCTCGATAAAGCTAGAAGTTTTTCAAATATTTCTAAATACTTTGTATGAAGTTTGTGGTGGTAGGAGATAATTTCAATGGATCTGCAGATTATTTAGAAAATACATCTCAGATTGAAACATGTTTAGATGAATTCCTCAGGAGACCCCTCCTGTGATGAATTTGACAAATTACGAGGTCTTTTTTTAATCTGATGGTTTCGGAATTATTCATTCAACATTTTATACGAAATCTGTGGATCCATCTGCCCCATTTATTTTCATTTTCAATTTTTACTCACTTCTGGAACTAATTGAACATTCGATATCCTCGATTATTTATTTTTCGTCTGATATTTGAAAGGTTGCGGTTTTCCCCTCCCTCAATATTTAACCATAAAGACTTTTAAATTCCCCATTTGTCAAGCATTGAATTACATGTGCATTCATTCTCGTATTTCACTTCATTTATAAAGCGTCTGGTCAACGAAAGCACTGTTACGATTGTTTCGTAATAAAAGAAAAAGTAGAATACTTCGAGTCGCCAAGTACTGACAAATGTCGGTGTGTGACAGTTCAGGGTCTGTCAAACATCCCAGTAGATTTAACTTTTTTCGTTACATAGTGATTTTTCTCTGAGAGAAGATAAAGAAAGAGATAATTTGCTGATAATTTTGGAAATATCTTCAAAAGAACTAGAGTGCAAAAAATTCATCAGAGGATTTGTTTTGTGCAGATTTTTCACAATCTACTCAAAATATCTTATCATTTTACCCGGAATCTATTAGTTTCAGAGAATATGCACAATCCAATAGCAAGGTCAATAGAAGCTGTAAACTACAGTTCAATTATTTCTCAGAAATGTTGAATTTCCTTGAATGGAGCTGAAACTAGCGGAATATTCGACAGAGAAAAATTAAATTTAGGGCATTTTTGAGGGTTTAAGGATCAAAAAATCATATGAGCAAACTTAGAGTTTGAATTTAAAATATTTGCACCCCCTGAAGTTTGTTTAAATAGAATCTTCGGCTGGAAAATCTATTGCTACTTTCAGCTTCATTCACCGTGAGCAGATCCTAGGTCACGCAGATAAATTATTTTTCATCAGAATCTATGAAATGTATTTTGATTATCAAGCAAGTTCAAACGTTCACAGTTGATATGAAACAACTGACTGAAATAAAAAGAGACAGAAAAAACTGAGTAACTAGGCGTACGCCCTTGAGATTATGATTCACGCGGGGGCCGCTACGACAATTCTGCGAAATGGATATTCTCAGTGAACCTAACCTGCTCTGTCAATTCTCAGTCACACGCTCTGTTTTTCTCTCTCTCTCTCTCTCTCTCTCTCTCTCTCTCTCTCTCTTTCTTCCTTCTTGTCCTCCGGCCCCTCAATATTTTTTGCTGAAAATATTCTTCTAGTTGTGTGGACTGGAAAAGTCGAGGGCTCATGCCAAGAAAACACCCAGTTCAAGTGTAAAACCCTTCGGATTATTTCTTCGATATTACAATGTCATTCATGTGTAGTATCGCATGAGAAAGGGAAGTGAAGATGCGAAGCGAAATTGAATGAAAGACATTATTTCTCTACTGTCTCTATCTTTGGCTTTTTCACCTCCCCCACTCAACTCGTTTCTCTCGTTTCACTTCCGGCTTATTCAATTTTGCCACGGCCACGTGATACGCGTGTGCCATCTCTCGACCTATTGGAGTTTGAAAGAAAAGGAAGGAACGTGTCACTTGCGAAGGAAATTCATCTCGAATAGAAAATCCAATTGTTGAATTTCAATAATTTTATGAGTCTAGATCTAGACTCTAGATAATTTCCTTTGACTCGATAAATTGTCCGTAGAACTATTCTGCATTTGATTCAATTAATTCGTTTGATTTATTTTGCTTTTACGCAGTGAATTGGTGGAGGAGGATGTCTGGAGGAAAATTACAGATTATTTCATGAATACGTTTGAGAAATAGAGGCTCAGAGAATTTATCGCAAGAGCTTTTGCTTACGAATGAAAGCTTTGTAATCATGATTTTTTTTCGATTTCTTAATTTTGGGTGGTATGGAAATGCCTAAAATTATCATGAAACGCGAAGAAATGATGTTTTTCAAAAATGACTGTATGTGTGTGGACATGTGTTTCGTATGTCCAGAACGGTCCCCATAACTCGAGAATTATTGAGGCAAAGATGCTGAAATTCTGGCTGCTAATTGGTACTACTGAGACTCAAATTTGTGCTAAATTTCAGCTCTATTCGTTGAGCGGTTTCAGAGAGATAGCCATTCTTCGAAAATCGTTTTTTGCCGATATTTCCTGAACCATTCGACCGATTGAATTTTTTTCCAAATACTCGTCATGATGATACCTATTTAATTGGATTGGAAAAAGACCATTACACCCTGAGCAAAGTAGTTTTATTCTCGTTTTTTCATTTTTTCGCTAAAATTGCTTGTTCGCACGATAATTTAAAAAATAATCTAGATAGAAACTTGAAACTTGGTATGATTTTAGGTCTTATGGTAAGAAACTTAGTGATTCTGGATGAACGAAATCGGACCAGTAGTTTCGCCGATATTTAACTTTGTATGTAAAATTCTTTTGCTCAATATCTCGAAAACTATTGGTCCGATTTCAATTTTCTTTTTTTCAAAATGCGCGTTTTGATATAACAAATATGGGTACTAAAATAATATGGGTACAACCCAATATGGGTACCATCCCATTGGAGTTTCTTGAGATGTCGTTTTTGTATTTTTTGGTCGGAATTCACTTTTGCGCCCTATGATATGGGTAAAAGTTAGGGGAACCTTTTGAAACTTTGGCTTCTAGTTAGGATTGAGAAACATTCCTATATCAAATTTTAGGTCGATATATTTGATAGTTCTTGGGATGAAACGATTCTCCCAAATTTTTTGAAAACAAAAAAATTAACGCATCTATATTTCACCATTTTCTCACCGGAAGATCTGAGAAAGCCATATGATATGAATACATGGTTTTTTCAAATTTACTTTATAGAAATAGGGGAAAGCTACTAGATCATTCACGAATGGTCATCATATATATTTGTCATGAAGTATGAGTGGGATTGGTCTTAATATTTTCAAAAAATAAAGGCATAAGGATTACTATTTTTTTAAACATACATTGGGGTCTATTCGGAACCCTACTACCAATAAAATTGGTAGAAATGAAAATAGGAGAAAAAAAAACGCGGAGAGTAGCTGTCATATGTAATCTGTCAAATGGCTTCTGTCGCGTTACTTGTTTTGTAGATACTCCAGTTCTGTGGGAGTAGCCTCTCAGAATTGAAAAATCTCTTTCGACATTTATTGCTAAACCAATTATCATTTTTGACATGTACTTCGCTGCAAATTCCATGCATGTAGCTCTTCTGCGACAGAATCATTTATCCAGCCTCACATTACAAATAAAATAATCCGTACCAAGAACAACAAAAAGGATGGAAATCATAGGACTAAATATCGGTGACTAGTTATTCTTATCGAAGAATACTCTCAGTTCAATGGTTTTCTAGCTTCATGCTGTCTGGTGACAATACTTTAGGTAATATGAGAAGAGACAGGATGTAATATGCCAATAGTATACACTTCATATAAGGCCTCGAACTTTACGCATTCTATGCGTGAAACAAGGACTCCAAGACTCCCAAATTACCTCCAAACAATTAATCTTTCATGTCAACAGTATGGAAATTTAATATGCATGTGACAAGTGTGTACTAAAGATTACCAATAATCTCGAGCTACCAATTTTGCTCTGCTAAATTCTAAGTTCCATCCCAAAACATACATTAATTAATTTTCAAGACATCCTTATTGCATGAAGCATGTGGCATGAAGCATATTGTCCCAGGAGCTGAGAGGTATTCAACGAAAGAAAATGTTGCTATGACTCCGAAACCACCTTCATTCGATTGCTTACTTTTAGAAATATAAATATTTAGGGTTTCGCAAACACTAAGAACCTCCCAATCCTGGACCAACCGCTGTTTGCGATTTTTTTCCGTAATAATTATGCTTAAGCATTTCATAAAATTCAGTAGGGTATCCAGAATTGGAATCAAGCTTCGCGTTCACCATATTCAACTATCCGATGCAGTAGCACAATATTATAATAATATTTATTCA